GTACTCTTCTGTTGCGTCCCGGTGGATCCGTTCTCAGGCGCAGAAGTTGAACGTGAGATCAGACTGCTGAAATGGAATAAAGCTGCCGGAGCAGATAGACTTACTGCAGTCCTCTTCGAATTCAAAGGATAAGCTCTTGTGTATGATTCCCATGACTTTAGCTGTAGGGACCGGAATCTGTCCCTACTGCTTGGAGGCAATCCGTTATAGTCCCAGTTCTTATAAGGAGCTCGTGTTCGGAATGTGAGAATCCGTCGGATCTCATTTACTCTTAAATTACTTGCCTCTGTCGCTCTCCACAGATTGGCTAGCACCCGTGAAAGCTTTATTTGTGAGGAGCAAGCCGCGTTTCGTCGAAGTCGAGGATCTATGAACCACAGCATCACATTACATCAGTCATTGGAACACCACTAAATTTATTGTTAACTTACCGTAGTTTTATTTCTCCACGTCAAAGGTACTTTTGATTCAGTGAAACAATGCGCTCTCTGTGACTGTCTATTCAGGAAAAGCGTGCCCGTTACATATGTGCACATTCTCAGTGCGGTTTGTGCGCAAATTTCGGCGGAGCGAGGGCTTATGGCAAACTCTCGCCACTCTTCACTATCTCCAGCGGTATAAGACACCATTCCGTCTTATCTTCGCTATTGACGAAGTTATGGAGACTGGGTTCACTAGACACTACGTACAAGGTGTGGACCTGCTCCTGCGTGCTCGACTTCCTGACTTGGTGTGCGCCGATTGCACTGTTATTGTCAGAGGCAGCTCCAAAACTTGCCAAAGAGAACTGGACAAAGGAGCACTGGCTGTCAATTGTTCCGGGCTATGCTTTGCACCCTTGAAATACAAAGTCCCTCCAATATTGGCTGCTATTTCTCTCTACTCTGACCGTTGTTGGTCGTCAGTTAGTCATTCTGTAATTGAAATATCCAGGCAGCTGTATCGATGCCTGTAGACTGGAAGATGCGGTCACCAGCTCAAGGCGCTTGTTATTACGCTTGTGGGACTCCATTCTCTCTCTCTAAAGGGCAGAGTTTTTAATGCAGCCATCCGTTCAGTCCATATACGGTTGGGAAACCTGGTCCATCAGATCGACAGTCATAAAGACGCTATCCTCTTTCGAGCAATTTTACCTTCGCATCTTCGTTTACATCTGGTGTGAGCACTGCGTGAGCAATATGCATCTTTATCTTTGTGTATTTGGTGCAGGAAGTTCGCGTGAACTGCTGAGTACCGTTATATCACGCACCAAGATTCGATGGCTGGTCCCTATGTCATTAGTTACTCCCAACAGATCCGTAGTTAATAAAGGAAGCGAAGCTGCGCGTTCATAGCCACCACCGCTTGTATGATGACTTTCGGAGCAGTGGACTACCATCCAGGCTTCACAATTGGTCATTAATCCTTTCTAATGTTCCTGTTCGACGTCAAATTCCCTAAATAAAACGCATCTTGACGATTTTAACCAGTGCAACCATATTTAACATCCTGCGTGTTGTAGCTAAGCCCACCTACTTGATATTAGTCACTGGTTTTCTGAACTCAGATCACTAGTGAACCGAGAACTCTCGTGATTGTGTTCCGCCTGCCGATTAAGTGGGACCATTTCTACTACTTACAGCTCGTTCCCGGTATAGGTGCTATTCCATCCGCATATTCCCGGATAATCCGTGGGGTAGGCGGAATCAAGCGAAATGCAGTTCGGAAAACCACCGGAAGGAATCCCCAGCCAGGGATATCCTCGTTAGCGGTTTCCCTGAGTCTAGAATATGATGAGCACCCAGTGATCACCCACGACCGAGAGCAGTGCCTCTGCTTTTAGGACACTTCGCAGTGCGGCCAATCTTGAGGCCACCTAAATCGCTAAGTTACAGAGGATATGTCCCATGGACTGCGAAGGGGGTTCTTCAATCCTACGGGATGTCGAAAACGGTGTTTGGAGTGATATTGTGCACACCTCAGCTGATTAGTTTCTGATTTCAGGCGCAAAGCGGCCTCCTCTAAGAAAATACATGATATGAGCAACTTAGTCGAATTATGTGCTGTCAGAGGTTCAGGAAGCATTACGCATCTGCTCGCCGAAAGTGTTAATCACACCCCGTACGTCGCGCATAGTGAAATTATTAAGGAACAGGTTATGGAGTCGCTGGATTTGTCGTTGGTCCACTAAAAAGAACTTGTGGCTGACGTTACACCGATCGGCTCAGTATCACACCTGAAACACAGTCCTCTGACTCCCTACTGAGAGCCAGGAAGCTTTCTTGCATGTACATCAACTTACAATGCTTCCTCATTAGACTCACTAAACTTCGGCTACGTCCGGCATCGTAAGTCTGGGACCTCATCTCCATAAAGGTAACCTCGTTGCACTCAGAAATTTCCAGTGCTGAAGTCGCGATACGATCCAAGGTGGTAAAGTACTTCTTTATGACCAAAATCCTCTGCACTGCGAACTAGTGAGCGATCTGCCATGCCATTTATGCGGACTATGTAACTGCCAACTGCCCTCATGACGATGGAGCAGGATTGATATTCTTCGCCACCCGAAGGCTGCTCATATCACTCGAACACCGTCCCATCATCCTGTCATATTCCGCTTTCGTCCTGAGGGCACATCGCTTGACTTGAGGAACAAAAATTAGACTGAACACGCGCATTTGCTAAAATTGGCACAACGCACTTCACTGGGCTTCGTCGCCTCCGGTGTCCCCGGTTTTCCGTAATAAAAGCAACATCTTGATCACTTCTCCGAGCGCTGGACATAAAGTAACTAATGTCCTGGACTTGCTGCTACAGTCTGTGCAACCATTCCTCTTCTTCATGGTGTTATTCCTATCACCGAACGGCCACTGGAAGTGGCAGGTTAGCTCACGTAGCTTGGTAGTTGTGTCACCTCTGGTAGTCACATAACTCAGTAGGGATTACTTCACGTATCAGTAAGTCCCGTGTTATCTTCAAGAGGCTCAACACTACTGAGATGACGGGATATCAGCCGGTCTGAAAAGTAGATTGTATAACGATGCGATAAGTCAGAGTTACTGTATTGATCAGTGGACTGGCTGCGTCTGACCACTGGTATTTGCAGCGTATACCTCACGTCTGTTTGAAACAACGAGTGAGCAATACTGTGGTCAGCATGTTGGTTTTTGTTGAGAAATCTTCTAGTGTTTCACTCGAGTGTTTGCTGAATCTTAGCTGTTTATGTTGACTAGGTCATATCCTGTGCGTGGCCGTTGACCTTCTTCTTCCGCGTGCAGTATACGCGTCGCTACCCCATGTTGGCGAAAGCTTGAAGTTGCCGGTCGATGTCATGAAATAAATGTATGGAGAAATTGACTGAGACTTGGTCAGGCTGGTGCATGTGCTCTTCGTGGATGGGATCTCACGAATTGGTCCACACTATTGGTTAAATGCCCTATCAGACAGGGCGCAGTCGTTCAGTTAGTGGTGTTTCCGCGTTTGGTTTCTTAAACCTAACCGCTTATTTTCAATCCATCATGATTAGTCTAACGCGCCTACTTGATTCCACTTTTCAACTCTTTTTGCATTCAGCCTGATTTTCTTACCTTTGTTATTTATTCTTATTGTTTCGATATGAGCCCTGACGACTGGATCCACCGCACTTAGTTGCTCGTATCTTGACCGTTTAACTGAAGTGAATGTGTCAGCATGTGCCTATGATGTGTCTAAATGAAGGAATCAACTGCGCGTCATAACCATTCATCAGGGGCTGACTGCGGTGACACCGTGATATTAGAGAACTGCAGATGTTGGAGAAAGTGGCACATTAGTTTATGAGCCTTCAAGTGACCAGAATAAAAATCGTGTGTCATTATCACTTGAATGGTGCCGTATTGACAAAATTGATGCATTTAGGCTTAGTGGCTATGGTTGATAAGCCCGAAGACTGGACTTGTTCAGCTTCGATAGTCATCAGAGTTCCGTTAATTTTCAGTTGCGGATAGTTTAGAAGCGGTTGTGTGAAGTACTGTGTTGCGCATGATTTGCGCTTCCGATTTTGAATTAAGTACCTCTAGTTTCGGTGGATACTCAGCGCTGCTTAGATGTTGATCTCTGTATTTTGGCACAGTGTCATGAGGCTCCCGTTTCCCATCAGTCTTCATAAATCCCGTAACATGATTTCGGTGGTTTTGTTTGCGTATCCGAAAAATGGCTGCAATTGAGTACCGAAACTCTCGATGATTTAGCGTTTTTGGCTGATGCTTTTCTTTATTCCTCTCTGCTGATAGCAATATGGCACCAGTCTTCATTGACTTAGGGCTGAACAAATGGTTGTGATTCGGAAACTAAAACTGTTGTTTTTGGCTTCTACTTTCGCCTAAGACAGTTAAACCGTATCCATAAAATATCGGGGCCAGTATATACTTGAAGACGTCGAGAGTCGTACGTTATGCTTTTGTCGGATATTGAATAAAGCTCAGGCTTGCGCTTGTCTGGAAACTAATATTTGTTCTAATTCAGATCTCGGTCGACTTTTTACCTCACGCTTCTCGATCACATTACCAATTGCAGAGGAAATCAAAAGCTCGATCTTGCTTCGAACATTTTCTGAATGTGTTATATTAAGGTCCGAGATGTTTCATGTAAAAGTCATCACATATAATAAGCTACGGTTGCGATGATACATTCCGGTGCATACATATTGCGATGGCATCGGCATAATTGCTCAGCGAGTGATGATACTCCAGACCAGTTTTTTGTAATTTGGTGGTGGAGGGAAGCAAATAGGAATTTGAATAACCAATATGAATGAAAGGCTGGGTCCACGAAGAGGACTGAATTGGCAATCGGACGCGAACCCAGCGAACTGCATCAGGTCGCACCAGGCATAATCGCTTGGATGCGTTGTCGTGTTGTCGTCTGAATGAGAGTATCGTTCCGGTAAATCTTTTTACATAATATGACTTTTGAGTCGCAGACTTGGAGGAGTATGTTGGGCACCTTTCGTACATTGTATTTGGGTGTAGTCGATATTGCCGATGGACGCTACGTACTCGTCTTCCGTAGTACGAGATTCTCGTACACTGTAAGCCGTCTTTTTAACCTGACTTCTGTCATATTGCGATTTAGTGGCACCCACTATAACCAATGATTAGGTATTTTTGTCACTATTCCCTTTGTTTCTTCAGTAACTAATGATTTTCGATTCTCTTTTCCAGAGCAACGACCCCATACGTGTGCACATTGTGGTAAATCGTTTACGATGAAGTGCAGTATGCTAAGACACATCAAGACTATTCATTTGAGTGAGTGCGCAGTTGATACTGCAAGTGAAGCTTGATTTCTATCACTTGCGTTGTGCCATTTTTGGTTATTTCGCGTATCATCTGTGGCATCAAGTCTGCTGACAGTACACCAGCTCCTTGATTTGTTGCTCTTACGGTACAAGAGTATCCTGATGTGTTAAATTCTCCTATTCATAGCTACTGTCACGCATGACAAATTAGCCCCCAAGTTCATTCGACTCTGTATGCAATATATCCATCGCAATGAGGCTGGATCTTACAGTGGTGCGAGGGTTTATGTGCCTCAGTGATCCATTGAGCTATGGTGCTGGTGCCTTTTTCACCTTCAGAGCCACTCATACTAGATGGGTCAATGGTTAGAGGCCAGTCAAACTCGGCCTCCTGGCCCTCCATGTTGGGGAGTAGAGTGAGGGTGGCTCCTTACTCCATGAAACGAGCTCCCTGCAGTCCAGTGCCACAATCACGCTGCCTTGCGGTCAGGTTTTTGAACCAGAATTTGGTTGAGAACCCCACTCGTTCTCCTGTGTAGGCCTGGGCAGCCTGATAGTATCCTGACTACGCAATACGACACCATGACTTTTCCTTCTAGCGATCTCTTGATGCTCTGGCCTTTCCAGAGGATAATAAACGACGCCGTATCTACTGCATCGATCAAGGTGGATAGGGGTTTGGATGCTACTGCTCAAGACTTCCTTCTTGCGCCTTTTCATCCTTAGTGTCCCACTCCAACCTCATTTTTATCCCGCTTTTATCAATTTTCCAATTCCTGGCCCTCTCTTACCTCCCTTCAATAGTCGCTTGCCTTTTAGTTTCAACTCACACACTATCGCAGGGCGTGGCTCCAGTTCAGTTGACAAGTCCATGTTCAACCAAGCGACGAACGTCAGTTCATACATTTCTCTTTGGAGTCCTCGATCCTCGCTAAGACTGACATGCCTCAACGTGTACACTTTGCTTCAGATTGGCTAACAGGCAACACTTACCCGAACACTAGAGACCCTATTGATCGATATTTGCTGTTTAGCGGAAAACTGCTTGCAAGATTCAAGCCCCATGTTTACCCTGCGATCCCTCACTTGCGACATTGGCGACACATTCTCATTGCACCTGTCTGCCGATGACGCAGCTTCAAATGCAGGTCAAGCTGGCTGAAGCTATCCTGATCGATTGGCTCCCAGCGAACAGTCGGATGTGCGCCGTTAGTTTGGCTGGCTCGTTCCATGTTTCACAGTCACGCATTATCATCATCACCATCATACATGTTAGCTGCAGGTGGAAAGCACCTCAGCTATTTTGCCACAATACTAAAGACAAGAAGAAAATAATACAACAGGGGCACGCCGGCTGAATCCCCAGTGATGGATGGACATCGTTCCAGAGAGCTGACAGCCGGCTATCGTGCCGTAAAATGAGTTATATTATGCCTAGCGAATGTGATCGTACTTGGGGGGAGGGGCTAAGCAGGAGGGAATGGACAAAGGAACTCATAATACGAGCCCCATTGGGGCCGGCTCCTAGTCATATCAGCAAGTGTGTCCAACCAAACGTGCTCGCCGTCCTTAGGACCCCAGCCATACAGTCGGGATGCACTAACTGACGCCAACTTCGAAGTGAGGGTTTTCATTTCTCTCCACCAAGTCATCTCTTGGCCTCCTCTTCCAACCGCACCCCCGGCGCGCAACCAATGCACGTCGCGGGGGTCGGTGTGCTTGCATGTGCAACCCATGGCCCAGCCATCGGAGTCTGGTGCGTGATATAATGGTGCTGAGCGGTTCACTCGCTCTTCCTGTACAAAAGACGCGACGCCGAACACGCTCGTTGCTCACGCGGTGCTCCCACCAGACATGAGCTAAGCTGCGAAGACAGCGATGATCGAATGTGACGAGCTTGTTTGTGTCTGTCAACCTGGTGGGGCAGGTTTCACAACCGTACAGGAGGGTTGAACGGTACAGCTTTATAAACTCTGTCCTTCAGGGCAAGAGTAATGTCGCGTCTGCGCCACAGATGGCGGAGATTGGCAAAAGCACCTCGAGCTTTTGCTGTACGGTTTGTAATCTCATTTTCGATTTCACTGGCGCTAATATAGCTGCCCATGTACTTGAATTCCTGAACGAATACTAGCTGATCACCACAAAGCGTTAGCACAGGGGTGTGTCTCTGACTCACAGTCTGTGTG